GCTTCGTTCACGTCTCTCATTATTGATTCATATTTTTTAGCATTTTCTTCTTTCCTCAATTTTTCGAGTAGTTCTTGTTGTTCCTGATAATTTTGTTTCAGTTTCATTATTGTGTCTAGTCTTTTTTGGCTTATTCTATTATCTTTCACTTTTTGCATATTTAAGTCTTTGAGGCTTTTTTTAAGAGATGTATTTTCATCTTCAATGGCTGTAAGTCTTGTTTTGAGTTCTACAATGGTTCTTCCGGAAGCTTGACGTTCTTTTTCACTAATCCCAAGCTTTGTTTTGAAAGCCTCATGTTCGTCTTCAGTCTTAGTAAGTTTTATTTTAAGATTTACATTACTTTCTTTGACGGTCTCAAGTTCTTTTTCGCTAACCGCAAGTTTTGTTGTAAGGTTCAAATTGGTTTTTCCTCGAACTATGTTTCTTGATTTGAGTTCCGCATTGTCTTGTTCGAGAGCTGAGTTTCTTGATTTAAGGTCCACATTGCTTTGTTCAAAGGCCAAGTTCCTTGATTTAAGTTCCGCATTGTTTTCTTCGAGAGCTGTGTTTCTTGATTTAAGTTCCACGTTTTCTGCTTTTAAATTTGTATTCTCGGATTCAAGGGCCATATTTTTTACCTTTAAATCTGTATTCTCCAATTCGAGGGTTCTTGTATTCCAAAAATTTCTCTATGCAATATACAATAATTAGAATGATTATGTTTAATTATTAACAAATATGAAGAACGCTTACATAATCAAAAATTTTGTTTTCCATAATATCGAATAATCTTTCGTTAGACTAATAACAATGCAATATAATCAGAATTGATTCATTTAAATACAGAAATATCAGCAAGACATTACAAATGTACTTACGTATGTTAAAACTTCATTAACGCTAACATTATTCAGATTACCCTGTTCAAATAAAAATATTTTAAAAATATGATACAATGCTAATTAATTAGATTAAGGTTTTTATATTACCTTAATAATAAACAAGCAAACTAATGCTAACGAAACAATGGCCACTCCAAGCTGCCAGTTAAATCTTCTATTATTGTTGTTATCTTGATTATTGTTATTATCTTGATTATTGTTATTATTAGGACAAATAAAAATCGATTAGTGCTGATGCTGATTTGGAGTTTGATCCAGGTAATTTTCTTTCAAAGTTTGATTAATTATTTGATTTGAATTCGAAATATATTCTTCAGGAGTTTGATGAACTAAAGTTTGAGTGTAATTCGTTGATTCCGAATAATTACTCGATTGATATTCTTTAATTAAGGATTCATTATCGAGTATAATTAGGTTCTGATTTGGAGTCTGTTGATCTTGATGTGAACTCGATTCTGCTATTAATTTGCCCTCGACCTTTTTCACCATCTTTGATTCAAGCCCTTGGTAATGTTAACAATTATTATTAACTAATAATTTAAGATTTTAATAGAAAAATAGAAAAAATTAAAATTTATACCATTGGTATAACACCGGGCAGCTGTAAAAAATTCTTTTGTAAATAGATTTGTTCTTCTAATCTCTCTTAATTCATCATGAATTTTTCACTGATCAGAAAAAGTAACACCCCGTTTTAAGGAATCTGGTAATTTTTGACAATATTTTTTATAATCGTCTTCTGATAATGTAACAGATGGAATCTCGTCTTTACGAATACGACCCATTATAGTGAGATTTAGATGGAAGTTTTTTTTAGATTCGTGGTAAATCTTATATTAAGATATCTCTTTCTTTTAAATAAATTCAAACGAACAGACTTGTTTCATAATCTGGAACTAACTGGTGTATTTAAATAAAAAATTTCTTAAGCAGTGTGATAATCTAATTTGTTTCAGAATCGCATGAAAATTTTTTTATTACTTTTTAAAATACATATGATTGTCAAGTATTCCACAACAATTAAACAATTACCACGAACAAAAATTTCATTCTGTTGACACTTCAAAATTGGTATTTAAACTATTGCAAACAATTGCTATAGATTAAAGTTCCAGAATTCTGCAGTGCTTAAATCTGCTCGATCTAAAATATTTTTTGCATTGTATTTGGTTTTTAAAAAAATAACTAAAGTCATATATTCTTACTGAGACAGTACAAAAAATATTCTTATTGTTATCTACAGCAATAGTTTAAATACCGAAGTGTCAAAAAAGACACTATAATCAATAGATGTATTATTGCCCAGGATGTTCGCGCTAATTGTTCTATTGTTATCAATAATGCGTGCTAGTGTGTGTGGTGCCATTGTAAATGATTGTCTAATTGTTGTCATGCTAATTGTTAGATGTTTTAAAGTAATAATCAAACTAAGTAAAAAATTCACACAATTCTGAACAAATAAACTATCACAATCGTGTAAAATATTTTATTTACTTATTTACTTTATCCAATCATCATTGAATTATTAGTTTTTAAGAAAAAACACTGAATCATCCAGGGCGGGCGACAAAAAAAAA